GCGGTGGTGGGCCCTTAAAAAAACGGTCGGTAGGTCCTAGGGACCTCCTGCTCTGAATACCATCTCAAAGTAACTAGGCAAGAATGAATGAACTAGCAGAAGTTTGGGTACAAATATGAAACCCTAGTTGGGGTTGTACCCCATATTGGCTACCCCACTACAGCCTACAAGCATAATACAGTTTAACACAGTACCCCCAGGCTCAGCACCCCCAGGCTCAGCACCCCCAGTCGCAGCACCCCCAGACCCAGCACCCCCAGGCTCAGCACCTCTAGTCGCAGCACCAGAGTCAACAGCTACCTCGACTGGCTCAACTGCATCTACCTGGGACACACCTGAGGGAGCAGGACCCTGAGGGGGGAGGGGGTCTACCGGAGGGGGACCTGGCGTAAGGAAGAGCGGCGGGGGAGGGAGGGACGCAGTGCGGTAGGGGAAGAGACGGTAGTAGGGAACCGACTCGTCAAAGGTGACGTCCTGGGACGCGAAGACACGGCGCGAGGTGGGGTGGTAGAACTGCCAGCCTGGCGCGTCAGGGGGAAAGCCAAGGAAGACGCAGGGAACAGCACGAGAGGACAGCTTGTCCGCAGACAAGTCGCGGACAAACGCCCTAGATCCCCAGACCCGGAAACGCGACGCATCACCAACCTTCCCCGTCCACAGCAAAGCAGGGGAGGTCTCCGGCATGGAGACCCGGGGGTGAAGGTTGAGCTGATGCGCCGCGTACCGAACCGCAAACGGCCACAGAAAATGGAAAGCAGCCGCATGGATCATGGACGTACGAGCGACGTCCATGATCATGCCGATGCGGCGCTCAGCAATCCCATTCTGCTGCGGAGAGTCCGGAAGCGTGAAGGTCTGGCGGATGCCTCGTGCGCGACAGAAGGCCCGCAGAAGGTCAGAGGAGAACTCTCCGCCTCTGTCGGAGTGCAGACGCCGAACAGGAAAGTCGGAGCCGAAACTCTCCTGGAGCTGGAGACGAGCTGCGCGGATCCAGGCGATCAACACCTCAGTGACGTCACCCTTGCTGCGCAAGGGGAAGACTGCGGTGTAACGCGAGTAGTCGTCAACCACCAGCAGGAAGTAGCGCTCCTGACCCTGCCCACGGACGCGGGCTGGGCCCCACACGTCCATGTGAAGCGTCTGCAGCGGAGCCTCTGTCGGAGGAAACTCGGAGGAGTGAGGGGCAGCGCGCTGCCGCCCCTCGACGCAGGGAACGCAGGTGGGGGCAGGCCCCGGAGGAAGAGGAGGGAGGGACCGGGGGAGGCCGGAGACAAGAAGACGGGAAGCCATGCCTCGAAGACGAGGCAGGGAGGGGTGACCAAGACGGTGGTGCCAGAGGAGAGTCCGGTGGGACAGGAGACGACACGAGCAGGGGGCAGACTCAGGACCAGACCTGGACGCCGCAGCAAACACCTGACCCGACGCTGCTACCTGAGCAGACTCAGTGACTGGAGGAGACTCAGTAGTCAGTGTGTACAGGCTCGACCCCGGCCGACGAGTAAACGTGGCCAAGTGTCGGCCCGTGTCCGCACAAGTGCAGTGGGTCACCCGCTGACGCGCAGGGGTGAACTGGTCAACTCCTGCATCCTGGAGGTCAGCACCCGCCACCAAGTTCGTAGAGAACGAGGGGAGGTAGAGACCCGACAGAGTGCCAGACGGGGCCGCAGGACACGGTAGGACAGTGGAGTAGTGAGCAAGGACAGGACCCCCAGAGGGGTCTGCCAGGGAGACCGCAACAGGCCGACTGAGCGGTGTGAGAGTGGTGCAGTCTCGAAAGAAGGAGCGGGAAGCACCCGAGTCAAGGGTGAAGGTGTGGGTGTCCGGTGACGACGCAGCACCTGAGAGCGCAAACTCACCGGCACCTGGGGCGGCAGACGCACTGGCACCTAGAGCAGCAGCCTCACAAGTACCTAGGGTAGCAGCCTCTATGCCTGGGTCAGGCGGGAAACACCGGTAACAGTCACCCTCATCACTAATAGTCACAGCATACATGGCAGCAAGAATAGCATCAAAATCAAGATCATAGATCGCAACACCCGCCCTAGACAGCTCGCCCCAGCGAGGGATCTCAGTAGCGTCGGGGAACTGGGTGGGGTGCGCGCCCCCACACTGCTCACCCGCCCGGTCGCCGGTACGGAGAACGTAGGTACAGGGGCCAGCACCCCCGCCCCGCTGACGAGCAGCGTACCACTCACGAAGCTGCTGGGGGGAAGGGGTCTCACGGGTACGCTGCTGCTGCTGCTGCTGCTGCTGGCGCGCACCACCACCGGAGCCACCCCTCTGCGCAGCGCCACCCCAACCAAGACCACCGCCTCCGCCGCTACCACCTCCAGAACCGCCACCTCCGCCACCTCCGCTCCCACCGCCAGTGCCGCCTCCACCTCCACCTCTAGTCCCGCTACCAACGCCCCCACCCCCGCCACCACCCCCACCGCCACCCCCACCCCCACCTCCACCTCCACCTCCGCCTCCACCGCCCCCTCCAGCCCCTCCAGCACCCTTGCCCCCCTTGCCCTTGCCAGGGCGGCGTCTCCCGCTAGGGGCAGACGCCGCAGCGACCGACTCAAGACCAACGAGGTCGGCCGCAGCAGCAGAGGCAACAGAGGGCAGGAGGGGAGAGGGGGAGCACCCCTCAAAGACAGGGGTACGAGGGTCACCACGAGAGGCACCTACTGCGACTATGCTCTTCTCTGCCGCGAGCAGGCGCTCCTCGAGGAGGTCAACGGTGAGGGTGGTGGGGCAAACAGAGAGGAAGTGGTCCCTGACCGGGCGAAGGGTGTCAGGGAGCCGGGTGACTATGTAGTAGAGGGTGATGTACATGGGGGGGGGGGGTTCTTGGCGCAGAACTCAGCAGGAAGCGCAGCGCGGTAGCGAGTGTCACTAGTGCGAAGGTGCGTAATGAGGTCAGCGACAGTGGGAAAAGCGGCGAGGTCAGGGAAGAGGTACGGTAGTATGAGTTGGCTGAGCGCAGCAGTGGCAGGGGAAGAGTAGCGAGCAACTACAGCGTCGTACAAGGTCTTAGCACTCTTGTACTGGCTAAAGTGCGCACGCTCAGCGGTCGGCAAGTGGCGGCGCACAGCAAGGCGGGCAGCAGCATCGCGCGTGGCCCACTGAGAGCGAACAGTGGGGTCAGCATCAGCAGCAGGGGCAGGAGAGGCACCAGAAGTGAGGTCAAAGAGGGAGAGGCCGTCTGCTCTGTCGCTCAGTAGGAAAAGCTGCAGGTCATCTACCCAGACGTCAAAGTCAATGGCCCGACCCTCAGCGTCAAAGGTGAGGACACTGGGGGAAGCCATGACAGCAGTAGACTAGCAGTGAGAGCAGCAGGCAAGGGCAGAGCAGTGGCGGAGGCGCTGCTCTTACCGGGCAGGCGAGAAGGACCGAGGCGCGCCGGCGGGAACAGGGCCACGACGGCAGGAACGGCGGCTCGGCGGCTCAGCGGCTCGGCAGCTCGGCGGCAGCGGCGTCTCGGCGGCTCGGCAGCACGGCGGCAGTGGCGGCTCGGCGGCTCGGCAGCTCGGCGGCAACGGCGGCTCGGCGGCGCCTGCAGCTCAGCGGCAGCGGCGGCTCGGCGGCGTCGGCGTCTCGGCGACTCGGCTGCTCGGCGGGGCCGCGAAGGTGTGGCGACGGGGCCGCGAAGGGCGGCGGTGGGGTCGCACGGGTGGGGCGACGGGGTCGCGGGCGGCTGCGACGACAGGGGTCGCGGGCGGCTGCGACGGAGTCGCGGGCGGCCACGGCGACGGGATCGCAGGCGGCCGCGGCGGCAGGGTCGCGGGCGGCTGCGACAGCAGGGTCGCGGGCGGCTGCGGCGACGGGGTCGCGGGCGGCTGCGGCGAAGGGGTCGCGGGCGGCTGCTGCGATGAGGTCGCGGGCGGCGACGCCGGGGTCGCGAGGGTGGGGCCGCGGGGTCGCGAGGGTAGGGCGACGGGGCCAGAAGAGGCGGCGCCGGGGTCGCTAGGGCGACGCGACGGGGCCGCAAGGGCGGCGCGACGGGGCCGCTAAGGGCAGCGCGACGGGGCCGCTAAGGGCAGCGCGACGGGGCCATTAAGGGCAGCTAGAGGGGAGCGCGACTCGGGCAGGGGCGGAGCGCGCTCCGGGCAGGAAAAAAAGGAGGTCGGTGGGCCCTAGGAACAGTTCCCACGAGGGAACCTGCTCTGATACCATGTGAAAACTTAGAACGAGAATGTTGCATTGAGCAGCATGAGGAGTACAAGTATGAAACCCTAGAATGTTGTACCCCATATAAGCTACCCCACTACAGCCTACACAGACTATAGTGTATAAGTTTGACAATATAATCACTCTAGGAAACTCTAATTCTAATGTGCGCGTTTTTATGCCTGGTCAATAGAAGTGTAGACGACCCACTTTGTGGAAATAATCAGATCGCGCAATGTGCGCTGCGCTAAATGTTGCAATTACTGCTCCTCCGCGCATGGCGCAGCGTTACACGCTCTTTCTTACACTCGCAACGCAATTATTAGCCACACTTTACCGCCGAGTGGAAAATCTATCCTTGTTGCCTGCCTGGACTGGAGGAGTATCATCAACTCCCCTTCCCCCCAGCCCTGTCCGTGCGGAGATCTTGTTATTCTCCTCCCCATCCCGCATCCCGATTCTATCATGCCGGTTTTCCCCTTCCGCCTTCACTCGATCTGCCCGCGCCATGAACCCAACAGCTGCGGATTCATTGTGCTCCTGTCCCACGGAAACGATCAGATTATTAAGCGTCGCATTTATCAAACCGCAGTTCCGCACTTAGCGGCGAACAGCAGCTTACGAGACGAGTCGTTGAATATAAACTGATGCGAAACCTCCCGGCAAACCGCGCCACGAGCCAGAAATATTTAAATGTCCGTATTCCGACAACAGTCATCATCAACTGATGAGTCATCTTTCTCACAAACAGCATTCGTACCACTGCTGGCACCATCCAACCCAACCTTTGAAAGTTTCAGAGTACAGCCATGGGCGCACTTCACTCGCTCTTTCTTCTCGCCTTCATGCTCGCGGCATCGCTGAACGTCCTCGCCGAGGAGGGCGTGCTCTTTGAGGGCGTCCAGCAGGAGGACCCGGCGGCGCGAGTTGACTCTGTTGCAGCCTCAAAGCCACGAGTTCTAACGCAGAAGGGCGTGCTGTATCATGAAGAGCAGCAGGAGGACGCCGTTGAATCTGTTGACTCCGTTGACTTGGAGGACCTGGCGCGAGTGCTCTTGAAGACGTTGCAGAGTGAGAGCGCAAAAAACGACCCAAACTTGCGGTGCTTGAAGCGGCGGGGACACAAGTGCATCAAGCGGGAGAAGGTGAATAATGGCATGAGCAAGGAGACCGAATCAGGCAAGAGAACCGACGAAGTGACCAAGGCGACCAGCAAAGCGACCAAGATGACTGACACGACCCAGAAGGCCGGGGAGCTGAAAACGTCTGCCAAAGCCGCATCTGAGAAGCCCAAGGGCGCTGAGAGTGGCTCGCCGGCGGGTGAATGGAAATCCGAGAAGGCAGCGGCGGGGGCAGGCGGCAACTTGGGTGCTGCCCCGAAGGAGCAGGCGCGAGTGCTCTTGAAGAGGTGGTAGAGTGAGAACGCAGAGTACGACCCGAACATGCGGTGCTTGAAGCGGCGCAGTCACAAGTGCATCAAGTGGGAGAAGGTGAATGATGGCACCGGCAAGCAGATTGACATGAGCAAGAAGACCGGCGAAGCGACCAAGGCGACTACCAAGACCAAGAAGACAGACACGACCCAGAAGGTCGGGGATCCGAAAACGTCTGCCAAAGTCGCTTCTGAGAAGCCCAAGGGCGCTGAGAGTGGCACTCCGGCGGGTGAAAAGAAACCCGAGAAGGCACGTGCTGCCCCGAAGGAGCAGGCGCGAGTGCTCTTGAAGAGGTGGCAGATTGAGCGAGAGCAGAACCTGAAGGGCTTGTGGTGCGTGAAGCGGCGGGGATACACGTGCATCAAGTGGGAGAAGGTGAAGGATGACGCGGGCAAGGAGATCGACATGAGCAAGAAGACCGGCGAAGCGACCAAGACGACCAGCGAAGCGACCGAGAAGACCGGCAAAGCGAGCAAGAAGACCGACACAACTCAGAAGGCTGGGGATATGAAAACGTCTGCCAAAGCCGCATCTGAGAAGCCCAAGGGTGCTGCGAGTGGCGCGCCGGCGGGTGAAAAGAAACCCAAGAAGGCAGCAGCGGGGGCAGACGGCAACTCGGGAGCAGCCCCCACGCCACGGGACTTGACTCAGCAGGGCCTGCGCTTTGAGACGCAGCCGGAGGGCGCCGTTGACTCGGTTGACTCCGTTGACTCCAGTGACTCGAAGGACCCAGTGCGAGTGCTTCGCGAGGAGCCCCTTCCATCACCGAAGAACGGGGCTTCGGACGCCAGCAGCCGCAATGGCAGCGGCAATGGCAGCGGCAATGGCAGCGGCAATGGTAGCGGCAGCGGCAATGGCAGCGGCAGCGGCAATGGCAGCGGCAGCGGCAGTGTCAGAGTGGTGAAGGTGAGGTGCACGCAGTGGCATAATCACAAGTGCATCAGGTTGGTATCGCAGAATCAGACTTAGAGCAAGACAAGCGGCGAGACGACCAAGAAGACCGACGATTAGTTGCCGACTGGCAAAGGCGCATGCGAGAAGCACAAGGGTGGTTGGATTGCAAAGAGTGTGCGTTTGTGTTCGTGCTATCTGTGCGTGTGTGTGTTTATCCTGCTGCTCTGTGTGTGTGCTTGTCCTGCAGCTGTGTGTGTGTGCTTGTCCTGCAGCTGTGTGTGTGTGTGTGTGTGTGTGTGTGTGTGTGTGTGTGTGTGTGCTTGTCCTGCAGCTGTGTGTGTGTGCTTGTCCTACAGCTATGTGTGTGTGTGTGTGCGTGTTTGTCCTGCAGCTGTGTGTTTTTGTTTGTCCTGCAGCTGTGCGTGTGTGTTTGTCTTGCAGCTGTATGTGTGTGTGTGTGTGTGTGTGTGTGTGTGTGTGTGTGTGTGTGTGTGTGTGTATGCGTGTTTGTGTGTTTGTCCTGCAGCTGTGTGTGTGTGTTTTTCCTACAGCTCTGTGTGTGTGTGTATGTGTATGTGTGTGTGTGTGTGTGTGTGTGTGTGTGTGTGTGTGTGTGTGTGTTCGCGGCAGTGCCACAGCGTGTGCATGTCCTTTTGCTCATGTAGGGGCTGCTGGAAAGAGGGCATTGGCCCAATATACTGGAGGTCGAAGGCTGGAAGATGGCTGCAAGGTGGCAGGAGAGGAGGGAGGGAAGACTTTTCGAGGGACAAGGTGGCAGGAAGGCAGAGGGGGAAGGCTTTTGAGGGACCTAGTTTTGAGTCGACTCTGATACGTACCACGGCTAAACCAGGAAGGCTTTTTAGTGACCCCTTGATACGTACCACTCCTGCCTGGGTCTGCCATTGCTTTTTAGCTTTCATATTGGCTTGCTTACTCTCGGTTGCCCTTCTTGTTCCGCGTGTTTGTTTGCATTTCGGTGGGCTGTTTACCATTGTGTGACGCGTCACTTTAGATATGTTGCACCTTTTTTTTCTCACGTTTTCCCTCTGCGAGAATAGTCTGCACAATGGAGGTAACCCTCTGAGGCTGGCTGAAAGATGGAAAAGGCTGAAATATGGCACAAGTAATGTCCAGAAACCTTATGCAATGGAATATTTATGCCCACTTCTATGCCACGAGCGGGCCTAACCCAAGCTCTGGTAGGTACCTCTGCTATTTTCTGTTTTCTGGAAACTTCACTTGGCTAGCATCTCTAATGGTTTTGACTTCGCTTGACTTGGCTGAGACTTGCTAACGTCTCTGCCATTCTCGATGGGTACTGGTATGTGAAATGTAGCTTAGCTTAGTTTGGTAAGCAACTCTGCAATATTTCTATATCCTCCATTCATTTCAGTCCAATCCAGGCTGCTCTTTCGAGACGTCTCAAAAGCTTTTCTGAGGCGTCTCAAAAGTCATGAGACGTCTCAAAAACCACCATTCATTTCAGTCCAATCCAGGCTGCTCTCTCTTTCAACCCCGTAAACCCCTTGCGCTTGCTCCCTCTGCCTCCACCCATCCATGCAAAACCTTCTCTCTCTCTCCAATCTCCTTCCCCTTTGTCCCAAGAAAAAACTCAGCAGGCACCAATCTTGTCCCACTTGTACTCTACCAATGTTTTATCGCCACCTTCCCCCTTCCCCTCGCCTCACCGTTACTCTGCTGCGCCCTTGCGCAGACCTTGCTCCCCTCACCCCTTCTCCCCTTTCTCAGGCCATTCTTCCTGTGTGCAGCCGCTTTCTCAACCATCTCCTCCCCTGCCCCCTCCCCTCCTCTCAACGCTCCTCGTTCAAACTCTCCTCCCCCAAAACAGCTGCGCCTTACACCCTTTCTCCCATCCCCCCTCCCTCGTCCCCCCTCCCAACTTTGTTGCATTTTCCCTGGCCGCGCATGCACCACTGGGCTTATGACCGGCTTCACTTGGAGTTTGTTTCCTGTCAGTCAATATGTTAAAAGTGACGTAAGGTGAGTGACATAGGGTGAGTGACATACGGTGAGTGACATAGGGTGAGTGACATAGGGTGAGTGACATAGGGTGAGTTGTCAGAATCCCAGCCACTAACCACTAGGATAAAAGGGCTTGTTTGTGTAGCGGGTGAGTGCGCCCATAACCCTCCAGGCCGACGTGCCTGTAACCCTTCCCTAGGATCAATCGGGGATCACCAGTGGACCTCTGACACCCCCCCGCACTGGGATGCCCGAGGTGCACACACCGGGATTCGAACCCGAGACCTTCGCTCTGATACCATGTCAGAATCCCAGCCACTAACCACTGGGATAAAAGGGCTTGTTTGTGTAGCGGGTGAGTGCGCTCATAACCCTCCAGACCGACGTGCTTGTAACCCTTCTCTAGGATCAATCGGGGATCACCAGTGGACCTCTGACATGAGTGACATAGGGTGAGTGACATAGGGTGAGTGGCATAGGGTGAGTGACATGAGTGAGGTAGGGTGAGTGACATAGGGTGAGTGACATAGGGTGAGTGACATAAGGTGAGTGAGGTAGGGTGTGTGGCATACGGTGAGGGACATAGGGTGAGTGAGATTGGGTGAGTGACATAGGATGAGTGACATAGGCCATAGGGTGAGTGACAAGAGGTGATTGGCATAGGGTGAGTGACATAGGGTGAATGGGATAGGGTGAATGAGATAGGGTGAGTGACATAGGGTGAGTGACGTAGGGTGAGTGACATAGGGTGAGTGACATAGGGTGAGGGACATTGGGTGAGTGAGATAGGGTGAGTGACATACGATGAGTGAGATTGGGTGAGTGGCATATAGGGTGAGCAACATAGGGTGAACGACATGGGTGAGTGACTTAGGGTGAGGGACATAGGGTGAATAAGATAGGGTACGTGGCAGAGGGTGAGTGACATAGGGTGAATGACATAGGGTGAGAAAGGTAGGGTGAGTGACATACGATGAGTAAGAAAGCGTGAGTGAGAAAGGCTGAGTGAGATTGGGTGAGTGACATAGGTTGCGTGATATAGGGTGAGCAACATAGGGTGAGCGACATAGGGTGAGTGACATAGGGTGAGTGACGTAGGGTGAGTGAGATAGGGTGATTGGCAAAAGGTGAGTGACACATAGGGTGAGTGACATAGGTTGCGTGACGTAAGGTGAGTGACATAGGGTGAGTGACATAGGGTGAGTGACAAAGGGTGAGTGAGATAAGGTAAGTGGCATAGGGTGAGCAAGAAAGGGTGAGTGACATAGAGTGAGTGACATAGGGTGAGTCAGATAGGGTGAGTGACATAGGTTGCGTGACATAGGGTGAGTGACAGAGGGTGAGAAGCATAGGGTGAGTGAGATTGGGTGAGTGACATACGATGAGTGAGAAAGGGTGAGTGAGATTGGGTGAGTGACACGGTGAGCAACATAGGGTGAGAGACATAGGGTGAGTGGCACAGGGTGAGTGACGTAGTCTGAGTGGCATAGGGTGAGTGAGATAGGGTGAGTGACCTAGGGTGAGTGACGTAGGGTGAGTGACATAGGATGAATTACATAGGGTGAGTGAGGTAGAATGAGTGAGATGGGTTGAGTGAGATAGGGTGAGTGACATAGAGTGTGGTGACAGGGTGAGAAACATAGGGAGAGTGAGGTAGGGTGAGTGATATAGGATGAGTGACATAAGGTGAGAGGCATATGGTGAGTGCCATCGGGTGAGTGATGTCAAAGTGGCTAGTTAATCTTAGGACCCATGGCTAGGGTTGAGGGTACTAGCATGAGTGTCGAGAGAGTTTAGCAAAGGAGAAAGGTGATTTCACTATGGCAAAACAGAAACATTTATGGAAAGGAGGGGAGGTGCACCACAAAAACAAGAAGCATATAGCTACACTAGGATCTACTGTAGGCAAGTATATAAATGTATACAAATACATTTCAACACACCCCCTAAATGCCTACAATGAGAACCATGTGCAACAGCACCCCCTAAAGGGGTACACCTGGCGCAGTGGAGGAAGGAGAGGGCAAGTGACGAAGAGGAGGGACCATGAGAGGAGAGAAGGTGGTGGGCGGCGGCTGAAGCTCCTGGCTCACGGCGCAACTGGAGCGACTGGCACACGGGCAACTGGAGCAACTGGCACACTGGCAACTGGAGCAACTGGCACACGGGCAACTGGAGTAACTGGCTCCGCGGCTAGACGAGCGGCTGGAGCAACTGACTCACGGGCGACTGGAGCAACGGGCTCACGGGCGACTGGAGCAACGGGCTCACGGGCGACTGGAGCAACGGGCTCACGGGCAACTAGAGCTGCTAGCTTCACGGCGGCCACCCCCCCTTCAACCTCCCCCATTTTCCCAAAACTCCCTTTCACACCCCTCGGCATCCCTACCGCCACTCCCTCATCTCCCCCACACCCTCCCCCCCCCCCCCCCCCCCCCCCCACTGCGGCATGGGCAGCAGTAGGAGAGAGAGGAGGAGAGGTGGCAACTGGTTACTCACACCCGCCACCCCCATACCCTCCCTGTCAGAAGTCTAGGCAGAAACAAGAAACAGGAAAGAGAGGGTTTTCACTAGCAGGCAGTTGAGTACATATAGCAAACCCTAATTTGGGCTATACTCGTGATAGAGTACCCCACTGCAGGCTAGACAAACATCACATTCTGACACACCCCCATAGTCAAAGTGGGGTATAATCAGCACAACAAGCAGGCAGAGCAATAGTTCACAATGATAAGCAAAGCTAGAAGCTATCACAGAGGGCAAGTGAGGAGGAGGAGAAACTGTGGGGGCGAGAAGATGGGAGGCGACGGCTGAAGCTGCAGACACACGGGCAACAGGAGTGCGCAGCACTGTGGCTACCAGGCGCAGAGCCCCGGACTACACGGCGACAGGCGCAGCTGGCTCTCTGTGCTCCCAGGAGTGCGCAGCACTGTCGCTACCAGGCGCAGAGCCCCGGACTACACGGCGACAGGCGCAGCTGGCTCTCTGGACTACAGGCGCTGCGGACGACAAGACGGCTGCCTCCACTCAACTTCCCCCAGCTGTCCCACAC